GGGGGGGGGGGGGGGGGGGGGGGGGGGTTGAACCCCCCCTATATACGCCACTGGTCAGGATTTTATTGATTTTCTAATTTATCTGACGATCAATTTTTTATTCCAAACTTGTCATAAAATACATATATCTTAATAATGTTGTATACTAATTGAGTCCGGGGTTAAGAAATTAAACACTGCTAACTAAATAGTATACGAATTGAATCTAAAGATTATTTGAATAAAATATAAAATTAACCGTTCAGAGTCCAGACAGAGTGGAAATTATATCGCGTGGCATAAAAATATATGTTATTGTCTTACTTATATCTTAATAATGTAGGTCTTATTTACTTATTCATTGGCGAGGACCACCAATAGTTGTGCATCCTTTCATCCGAAAATCAATGATATCTTTTATTTAGCACATCCAAACGTGTACCCATTTATAAATATTTTGTTAAATGTTCAATTTGAAACCTATATAAAAATTAGAAGTGTTCATATAATTAATACAATAAATTATATAAAAGCAAAAAAAAAAAAGAAATCTGAGATCAAATATAGGCATATCGATCAAACACAATAACTAGATTTGAATATACACAATGCTTACCCTACACATTTTTACAAGTATAAAAATGTTATATTATTTTTTACTATATTTATTTAATCATACACAAATTATTTATATCATATTTCTCCCTACATTATTAGATTATAAAATATTAAAAGAAAGAAATATACCATACCTGTAGAATTTTTTGTTGCAGACAGTCCTAAGTCTGTAAAAATAGGAAAGCATATTTTTTTTATATTTTTTTTAATTTTACGGGAAATAGTTGGTACTAAAACTTAGACTCGATTCATCATAAAAGGTTATATTTGTTCTCAGTTTGTATGCAGCCCTTAGCCCTTAATACTCCAAGCCATACCGCATTTTTTTATTTATTTCTACATATACCCTATTTATTTATATCTATTTATTTAAGAGTGTTAACTGTTTACTAATTTTCGTTTCGTTTTATTACTTTATTAAATATAAAATACATTTTATTTTATTAGTCTTTAATTATAATAATATACTTGAATATTGGAATACTTGAAACATTATATTAGATTTCTTTATATCAATAAACGTTCATAATCGAGAAGCTGATCCAAAATAAAACACATGTAACATTGCTCAAAGCTACAGGTATATTCTTTTAATATCAACTGTAAGTAGTAATACTTAGTAAATAGCTATAATAAAATCAATTAAATGTATGTTTTTAAAAATATTTTAACTATTACATTTTTATAGTTAGCAATATTAAAGTATTCTTTGTTATGTATAGGTATAGAATTTAAAATTAACCCTGACCAATAAATGACTACTCATTTCTCATTTTTTTTTTTTTTTTTGAATACACAAAATTATTTTAATTTTAAATAAATTAATGTTCTTATAGTAAGTCAATCATGTATTTGATTGCACATAAATTAAATAGAGTTCAGGACACCTATTTTTCTTTTTCTCGGTATTCAAATATTTTAATTTTAACTTGAACTCTAAATTAACTTCGATAATAATAAAATAATTAAATATTCTCTGTAATTAAAATAATATATTGAAATAGCCTAAATCAATTATATTTTATTCAATTTTATTTTTTTATTTAAATAATCAATAATCTAAATTATAATATCAATTTAATTTTTATTTTATATTAATTTTTACAATCTGATATTTATTTCAATTATATGTATGTTTATTTTAATAAGTCGGTAGAATAATTTAACAACGTTTAATGAAAACAATTTAACAACATTATCATAAGGCTTGCTCGAAAGAAATGAAAAGCAATACGTAACAAACATAGCAACGGACTTTTTTATTATTATAAAACACAAGGATGATATAACTATTAGTAGTAATATATACTGTGTGATGAGAAGAGAGGAAAAAAGTTCAGCAAGAGTTACATAATCTAGTAATATATAATTTATTATTCAATATATTTTATAAAAATAGTAATTCAATGTCACACTTTACAGCCGACAGATATTTAGTCTTTAATTCCTAACTCAACCAAAGTACAAGAACAAACAATCAACAAAGTCTGAACTACTCGTAGCAGATATCAGTAAACGGATGTGAACGATCTCACTATAATTTTGAAGAGCTTATATTTATAAGGTAGAGTGTTGTAAAATATATATAAATTGAAACCATTGTAATCCCTATGCTTTGGATTTGAGTCAGAATTTGTGCAACACCTGATCGAGCATATGACTGTACCACTTGAAATCAGTGGGCCAACGCGCGAGGCGAGAAGTTTATGCTTATAATAACTTTTTTGATAGAGCAAGAGGAAGAAGAACTTGATAGCGAGTTTTCAAGGTCTGAGGTCTAAAGAGTTACTAAAGTTGTTGCATTCTGAAGAGTGAGGTTCTCTTTTTCGGTGGTAGGGGATAGAGCTACACACGGTATACATGACGTGGCAAGAGTACGACCTCTTTGATCATATACGTCTCGTGTGGTAGCTAGCAATTCGACATTTACAACTTCTTGAAGGTTTATGATACTACAGAGCTACAGTCGTCGGTAACCAACTGCACTGAGTAGAAACTCAATTTATACTTGGAGCGGTACGGTAGCTGAAGATTTGGAAGTCGAATTGCGACGTTAGGGATAATAAAAAAGCTACGAATATCGGTAACTACCGCATGCTAGTTGTTCTTTTGTTTTGTGAAAAGGGGTCTTGTCAGGAAGTGTGAGGTTTTAGAGAGTGTATGACTACAATCAGGTCCTAAAACGTAGGAGAGAAAAATATTTTTTGGGGAGTGATAGAACATTGAGCAAAGGTAACCGATCGATAAGGACTGGCCCGTTTGTGGATTTATGTGGTGAGTGTTCATAAGTCGCGGAAAATCTGGTTGTGTTTGAGTGTTAGGTTTATTCGTGGAGGGTGAGTAAGAGCTACACACAATTTTATCCATGTGATAAAAAAAAAAAATTATGAAAATTTATATCCCGTCTAGTAGTTAACAACTCAATATTCGAATCGCAAGGTTAGTGATAATAGAGAGCTACAATCTTCAGTAACCACCTGTCAAGAGAAGCAACTGGTTGCTTATTTGAAGCCGCATGGTAGCATTTCGTATGTTTGGTGAATTGCGGACTTATCTGTGGTAGTTTGATTTGAGTTGGAATTGTGAGGTTTTTTTTTGCTGAAGTATAAGGTTTTTTTTCTTGGGGGGAGGGGATAGAGCTACACACGATCTTCCTGACGTGGCAATAGAACGATCTCTTTGACCTTGGAAGTCTCGTGTGGTGGCTAGCAATTCGACTGTTAGAAGATTCATGATACTACAGGGCCACACTCGTCGATAACCAACTGCATAGAGTAGAAACTCAATTCATATTTGGAACCGTACGGTGGCTGAAGACAAGCCAGTCGAATTGCAAGAGTAGCAGAGCTACAATCGTCGGTAACCACATAGCAAGAGCAGCAGTTCATTGCTTCTTTGGAGCCGTACGGTAGCTGATCTTTTGTTTGTTTTGTGAAATTTGGTCTTTTTTAGAAGTATGAGGTTTCGGCGGTGCATTAGGACGTGAAAATAAGAGGTGAAAAATTGGTTTGGAAATCGGGCCAGTCCAAAAGTCTTTAGATGTTAACATTTGGTCTCGTTTATTTGTTTGGTGCACATACGATTATATATGTGGATCGAGCGCATATCCAATGACCGTATCCAAAGCAAAAGGAACAAAAAATAAAAAAATATACTGTTAACTCAATTTAAGATAAGTTAATCATTATTGTAGTATAAAACTTTTACTTGTAATAAAAAAATGACAAAAAAAGTGCTGTTATTCTAAATTCGAGAGAAATTAACCATTATTATGTTTCAAAATGTAATACCATTAAAAAAAAAAATGTATTTACGTGTAAGTATATGTATGTGTAAAAGTATGTAAACGCATATATATACGTATACACTTATTTGATAAGAAATATTGTACAATAATACCATCTGTTGTCAAATAAACAAATTAAATATATATGAATGTGTTTATCTGTATACGTATGAATGTTAAATATTAAATAAAAATAGGTGCACGCACATGATCATACGAATTCTTCTAGTAGCGCATATTTTTATTATAAATTATTTTTTAAATGTTAGTAATAAAACAAAATATTGTAACAACTACTCACAAAAAAATAATGTAAAAAAAATAACACAAAATTTGAAATTGTAAATCATAAAATTAACATCCCATGATAATGGGACTGGCAATATTCAATGATTAGTGATTATGACACCAACATGTAAGCAATCATTAAAATCCACCAGATAGGCTATAGATAGCACCAGACAGCTAATAGGACAAACTTTCAGTTATATTATTGTAACCATATTTCACTATGAAATCATTAGTAATGTCCTTTTATTAATGTAAAAAAAAAACTGGTAGAAATAGCAATATTGTATTCTGCCTATAATTCTCCACTTTTTATAACTGTTTTAAAATGTTTGTAAACATTTATATCACTCCCACCCTCGCCAACGAGCGTTGTTGTGAGGACACAACAAAAAGTATTGTAAGGTAGATATGATGTGCATAATTTGCTTATATATCATGTTAAAAATAAGTTGTAATAGTGTACATTACCACACGTAAAAAAAACCAATAAATAACGATTCTTTCGACATGCGCACAGAAAATACAATTTAAATAATCGAAGCCTAACCCAACATTAATCTATTGATATATAAAATAGGTCAAAATCTCAAAGGGTCGATCCAAGGTTTATCATAGGTACATCCTAACCCGACGCTCTTGTCCATAGACCACCAGTGCGTGCGTAAGGAGCTCTTGATCATATACGTGTCTACCATTAATTTTTTTAAGTTTTGTGTGGTTTGTGTGAGTGTTGAGGTGTGTCTATCTTTGGTCTGAATTCGGTCAGTTGATTTCCATCTGCCATAGAACAAGTAAGTGCTATTTTATCCAGCTTAAGAGGCTATCCAGTTGCACTGATCGACTCTCGAACCTTTATAACCTCTTCCCTAAACAAGGAGGAAGGTAATACCTTGGAAAATCCAACTAAACGCCATTTTTCATGTTACTTTTGGGTTAGTACAGTTCTAAGTGTATGTTGTGGAACAGATATCGTTAAATGTGTAAACGTCCGTTGCACTTGAAATGTGTTGAGAAACGAGTTCGTGGTTTATTTTTGTAATCCATCATATAATTTTATTGCAAAAGAAAATAAGCAAGTAGCCAGGTATGCGATTTTGTAGTTTTTCATGATTTCAGTAGACAGAAAAATGTATAAAAAAAGACGTTTTTTGTTTTTAATTAAGATATTGTAAGTTATCCATGTTCTATAATACCTGAAACACGATAAAAAACGATAATTAAATCTTATAGGTGAGCGCAATTTTTGGAAGACAACGTTAGAAATCAGCTTTTTATATTGATAGATATTTATATACTGACCAATATATTTCATCATTAATAATACAAATAATAATAATAGTTATATAAAATTGACCCATCTTCCATTGGGTATTGTCCGTCGGACCATTTACCGCGGGGAAGACTATATTTCTCTACTCCATATTAAAATATAAAAAATATAACAGACAGGAAAAATAAAATAAATATCCGTCGATATTCAGGTTCAAACGTCGGACGGACAAGATAGCTTTTCTGTACTTCCCGTCTTACGTGGTCCTCTATTTATTTCTAGAACTTTGATCAATCTTAATAATTAGCTTATGAAATTACTTATTAGTAATTGTCGATATCGGAGTGTATATGTCAAGTCAGGTGAGGATTGCGTTGATAAGACATTTGTACTTTACATATTAGATAACACAAATATATATATATATATATATTTATATTATTACAGGCAGGTATAAAATGGCTATTTCATATTCATAACTAAACCGAATATAAAAGTCTGTGATGTTACAATTGGTATTTCAATACATTTATTATTTTTTACATCAATGTTATTTCTTATCTTAACCGAGAATTGCTGCTTTCATTAAACATGTGAAAATGTATATCAATAAATAGTTTATATGTAAAAATAAATAAATAATAATGCGTAGCCTTATGTGCTATTTTTTCTGAAATTTATAAGCAAAAATATTAAAATCAACAATAATATTAACAACAAAATATACAGCCCATACATTGAAACCATATTGTAGATATGTTGATGATAATTTAATTTTATTTAGAGGCTCAAATAAACATGCATACAATTTAATTAGCCACTCAAACAGAACAAATAAAAATCTTCAACTTGCACTCAAAACTCAAGTAAATAATAAATTACACTTCATAGATCTTACAGTTTCCATAATAAATAAAATATTGTACAGCCGTAGTACCCAATTGATGGTCCATGGACCCCCAGGGATCCGCGTTTTGATTTTATAGGGTCCACGGTTGTGTAGTACTGTAATGATTTTTTTTTTTTTATTTTATTTAGTGAAATTAATATTTATATAAATATATTTTACAATATTACAAAAAGGTTTGTCAAATCGTAATTTTTTTTTTTAATTTTCATAATTAAATAATATTAAAAAGTAAGTATTTACAAAAAAAGGGTCCTCGAACCAATTTAAGTTATAACTAGGGGTCCATGGTATCAAACTAATTGGGAACCACTGTTGTACAATCTTATACGTACACAGTGTAATGAAGAACGATCATTTTAATAATATTTTAAACGTACAAACTGACTTTAAAAATATCTTACATCAATACATTTTAAGTATATACGTTTAAAGATCTTTCCTTGATATAATGTATACATATACGAATATATGTCTGATTTTAGATAATAAATAATAACCAATAAAATGTATATCTCTTAACCTATCTATATATTTTTAACCTTCACCAAATGGCTTGATAAAATGTCAACTAGATTTTATCAACTTCAAACATACCCGATGATGAATTTTTAATCCGAAACCGTTCGTAGTTTACATATTATAATATTACTACAGGCTACGCATTCATTTATTTTTTATTCTGTACGGAGTATGTACTTTTTTTGTAATATAGTAATTTACGAACATGAACCGTTTATTAAATTTCGGTTTTATTTTATTATTTTACTAGATTGTTAATTGTTTTGACGAAATCCAAGACGCATACGAAATGCATATTGAAAAATCACGAACGGTCCTCGTGCAACAGTTGCAACCCGGTCGAAAACATCGATAGTGGGGTCCGCGTGTTAAACATCGAGCGCGCGTCGTCGCCGTGATAATAGATAAGCAAATGTGCGTATTGCGTATCAGACAGCAGCAGCAGTCGCGTACTGTGTTGTTGTTGTGTTTCCGACGAAAACATTTCCCTTATCATCAACTTCTTGTTTATAAACATTGATCGTGTTCGCGGGTTTTCCGGTCGGACGGATACGATTCGCGATACTGGAGTTGCAAACTTCCTGCACCCGGTGCCCTAGTGTCTTTTAATATTCGTGGCTAGGACAGCCGGATCGTTGACGATGGATTTCGAAGAATCGTTCATGAGCGCGCAGGACTTCGACTTGGTGCAAGTGGTAAGATGATCGTTTATTACTGTCGTAATTTCCCCCAAAATTTCATTGATCTGTCTTCTTCCTTTGAATGATCATTTGTGATCAACGTTGGTAATGTCGGTTCCAGGAACAAGCACAGGAGATGAAAGAAAGCACGACGACCACCCCGCCGCCCGTGGCTAACAAACGAGGACGGAAGCCCGGAAAGAAATCCAGCGACAAAGTGGACATCAGAGCTAAACTAGGTTTGTCGACCTGCAAGGTTTGTATGGTTGTAAGACTATGCATCTTATAAATGATTTTTATGACCTCAGAAAGGAGCCGGCAGAGCGCTCGTGAGTGCCGTGCTAGGAAAAAGTTGCGCTACCAATATCTTGAGGAATTGGTGACTGACCGTGAGAAAGCAGTAATTTCCTTGCGGCAAGAACTGGACAAAGTATTTATTTATTATATATTAGACTTGATGTGAATTGCTTTTAATTTTTTTTTCTTTGTTTTATTTCCACTGTTTAGTATAGAATGTGGTGCGTTGAGGTCGATGAAGGTAAAATTCCTGATGGCCTGCCCGGACTGCTTGACGAATTGGGCGCTGTTAAACAAGAAGCTGGTGGTGTACTCATCATGTAATATTATTGTACATACATATTATCTTCATATTGTGTTTATTGTGCCATTGATTCTGTTGTATATGGTTTAATATTTTTATTGATTTTAAAATAACAGTTATAATGTTTTGTTGACAAATAACATCATATATTAAAATATTAATATTTGGAAGTTACACTTATTTGTCTTAATTTTGTTTATATTTTTATTAAATAAACATAATAACATATATTTCATTTATATTTATATTAATTACTTATGGATAATACTTAAGTTGTTACTTGAAATCATGAATATTTATATTTATTATTGCTGTGAGCATATAAAACAACAGAAAGGTTATAGGATTTGTATGATTATTTTCCATATCATTAAATTGAATCATGGAGTGGATAACGATAAGTTTTCTTCGCCATGAACAATTGGTGTTAATATCCAGATATGAATTTAAGAACTAAAGATAAATATCGTTATCAATTATTAAGTGATAGAATTTATTGTTAAAACATATTAATGCCTCAGTAAAATAGTGTAAAATATTTTTTTTGTATCCATAAAATTACTTAAATTATTATAATCTTTTTTATATATTATAAAAATTGATTGTCTTACGATCTGCCACAGTACTCTGCCTATGATTCTGAAACATGAAAATGAATAGTCTAAAAAATATCTTTCGGCCTACAATGCCTATGTCCAAAAATATTTTGTTTAAACCAGATGAACTCATATCCAACAGTCAAAAAGTTAGTAATCATTTTGAATTGATTTTGCAAATCATTGCAGTGTATACATATTTTCAGTTAATGTTGGAACTCGGTCTTATCAGGCAAAGTGCCAATGGATTATACCATCTACTACCACTTGCTCAACGGTCTTTGGATAAACTGATTTGTATTATAAACAAAAACATGATGGACATTGGTGCTCAGAAAATTTCTATGCCAGTATTAATACAGAGTAGTTTATGGAAAAAATCAGGTGTGTATGTGATGTGTTAAGAATTTATTTAATTTTATTATAAATATGATTTCTGTAAACTAAAATTGTATTTAAACCGAATAATAATGACAATAATTAGTTTACAAGGGTGGCGGGGAAGTATTATAAATTATCTTACCTATAATTTTGTATACATTGCAAATATTCGAATTAATATTTTTTGTACCTTATAATATTTTAAAAAAATATGAAATATGTGTTCTGTGAAATAATTATTAAAATAGTAAACATATAAGTTGATTATTTTGAATTTTAAAACTGTATCATACTTGCAATGCCTTCTTTATAAAAAATTTCCAAAAAATAATCACTTTTATGTTTAATGTTTTACTTGTTTATTACGGTATCATGTTTCTTTTATTTAATTTAATGTATCTAAAATTATATGTTTCAAATAACTGTAACATGCATACTATGTTAATATCTATAGCAAACAAATAATTATAATTAAGTATACTTAATTTTATTAGCCATATCTTACTGCAGGTGAAACCAATTTCAGAATTTCCACTTTTCAGAAGTTCAAATCATAAATAATTTTAGATTGTTATTTATACTTCACAGGAATGTGTAAATATATTATATTGGACATTTTTGAGTTTACAATAAAAAAATTTATAATTTTCTTGTAGGTCGATTGAGCAAAAACATGGAAGACTTATACATAGTGAAGGATCGCAAAAATAAAGAGTTCCTCCTAAGTCCGGTAATACATGAATATTAAGTTATGTTACAAAGCTTTACATTATACATTTGTACAGACTCATGAAGAGGTCGTTACGAATTTATTTAGTTCAGATCCCAAAACATACAAGCAGTTACCTTTAATGTTGTATCAAATTGGGACAAAATTCAGGGATGAGATCAGGCCTAAGTTGGGCATCATCAGATCCAGAGAGTTTCTTATGAAAGATTTATATTCTTTTGATAAAGATGAAGTGAATGCTGTTGATACATATAACAAAATATGTCAAGCCTATGAAAATATATTCAAACAGATTGGTGTTAAATTCATTAAAGGTAAATAAGTAATAAAGTAATAAAATAAAACAAAAATATGTAAATTGTCAATAAATAAATAGTTTATACTTAGTATATAAAAATAAATAAATGCTTAGTCTGGAGTTTTATTATATTTTTAATTCGATAACGGTTGTACATTACAAATATAATTATACTCCAGGCTAAGCATTTATTTATTTATTTTCATGGATAAACCATTTATATATTTATTTGGTAAATAAATGTGAAATAAAATATTACAATTATTATAGATGTATTTAATTTGACTATAGTTGAAGGATCATCAGGAATGATGGGTGGCAGTCAGTCCCATGAATTTCATTATCCTTCCGAAGTCGGCGATGATACACTATTGCTATGTAACAACTGTGGATTCGGAATGAACAAAGAAGTATCATCAGATTTGATCAAGTGTCTCAAGTGCTCTAGTACTAACATTGAATGTACAAAAGCTATTGAGGTCGGCCATACTTTCCTACTTGGTACATTTTATTCAAAGGCTCTGTCTGCTAAGTATTTAGACTCTGACGGTACTTCGAAACCCCCGTATATGGGTAGTTATGGTTTGGGTGTTTCCCGAATAATTGGAGCATCAGTAGAATGTCTCAGCACACAAGAAATAATCCAGTGGCCAAAGTCTTTGTCTCCATTTACAGTGTGCATTATTCCAGCCAAAGAAGGCAGTATCGAGGAAAGAATCTCGGAAAATAACTTGTTCACTCTTTACAATAACTTAACAGAAATATTTGGAGAGGATATTGTTGTTGATGATCGAACTCATATGACGATTGGCAAGAGATTTATTGAAGCAAAGAAATTAGGATTTCCATTTGTTATCATAGTGGGAAAGAAAGTTACTGAAAGTCCTTCATTATATGAACTGTACAAATCAAGCACTAAGAAATCTGAACATTTTGAATTTGGTAGTTTGATTGATATTCTGAAAAAACAATGTAATCAACAAAATACATAAGTATTCCTTATCCCTTAGTTGTTATCTTTAAATTAATTGTTGTAATAATTAGATTTTTAATTATAAATTATTTTCCAATTCATATACAAATGCATGTTATTATGATGATATATTTTTTTATCACCTTAGCCTTTTGATTCTGATTAATATTATGTTTTTTTGGGGATTTTGTTGATGACGATTTTAAGAATCTTGTGTAAAATATGAAAATACATTTAAAAAAGAAACTAATAAAAGCCTAAACATTTATAAAAAAACACATCACATTAAAAATAGACATATAATAAATACTAAAGATGTATATTGAAATATTGTTGAATCTAAAATGCTAAATTTTAGAGCATTGAGTCCCATTTTACAAGATATACTAATAATACTTTAGGAAATCATCAAATAACAACTACTCTTAACTATAGTTTAAGGTACTCTTTTTATCTAATTTTTCTAAATTCCATTGTTAAAAACTCTAAAATAAAGAAATTGCCAAGGACTTATTGACTGTCTGTTACAGAAAAACTTATGCTTTAATCTATTATGTTTTTGAAATAACAGTTGTAATTTTCTATACTAGACAAATTCAATCTTACTTATAAGTTTTTTCATTTCTTCAGTCTAGTTTTTACTTTGTAATATTATAAAATAAAGTAGTAATAAAATATTTTATATAAAACTATTAAGTTCATAAAAAATAAAAGGAAGATAGGAAGATTAATTTCTTAAGATTGAGAAAATTGTAAATGGCAAGAATACTAAAAAAAGCTAAATATATTTCATATTCATATAATTTAATGGTTCTTATATTTGTTTTTGCCAATTTAATAACGTGTAGTAATTATCTAGTAAAGGGTGGTCCAACTTTTTGTAAATGGCCGGCCAATTTACACTTCCATAAAAACACTAAGGGCCAAAAAAAAAAATTATACAGCAAGACCTGCAGTCAATAATCGTCAACTTATAATGACTTTCACAATCTCCCATCTCAAGAAATTAGATTCACTGTGGCTGTTATAGAAATATGATACCTACATACGTACTTAGTGAGTTGAATTTAATCATTGTTATGGACATCACTAATGGCATGTACACCTATGTTTTTTAGTAAAAAATATAAAAAGTATACAATCGTATAACAATTATGTTATAATATTATAGTGACTTTTTTTTTTTTTTTTTTTTTTGATTGGAAGATTGAAAGACCAAAAAAAGGCTTTGAGGCCTGCGGGATGGATCATCCTGATCTAGTACATCATTCATAAAATGTAATCTTTTATTTCTTTCAATATTATGTGATTTTAACTAAGAGGATATTAACTAATAGTTCAAAATTGAAGAAATGTCTACATACATAAAGGTCATGAATCTCCAATGTATGACTTGGAACATTTTTAAATGAATAATTCGTATGACATACAAATCATAAGATGAATATTCAAATTGCTGTTTCATTAAATTGTAAAATTTCTAGTACACTGATAACAAAGTTAACATTGTATAGTTAAATGTTTTAATGTGTTCTTCAATGATAAGTTATCACCTTACGAGAAAAGACTAAAAAAATCCTATCTAGGATTTTAAATACATGTTTGTTTAAATTATTATTGATCTTAAATTGAAATAATAATAATTTAATCAAATATCTATATAAGCTAAAGAACTAAAAACTTTACAATTTCTTCTCTTTTGAATGCTGGTATAAATAAACTTAAATGTAATTAAAGTAAATGTTATATAGATAAGACAAACAGAAATTTTAAAATAAGATATAAAGAATATATTTCTGAAATTAAATTTAGAAAAGACTGCCCCTAATTCAAATTTCGCTTAACATGTTATAGAAAATAACCATAATTTACATTTTGATACCATTATAGAAATAGAAATATTAAATACCCTAAATAAAATTTACCTTAGTTCAGTATTAGAAAAGTAACACATACACAACGAAAAGAAAAATAATTTTAACGGCATTTTAAATATAATCCCTCCTATTAAAATTAATTACCTTTATGTAAAACAACCAATTTTCTTAATGTACCTATTCCTTTATTATTTTTTCATACATGAGTCGTGATTTTATTTATTATGTATTAGAAATGTAATGTATATTCGAATAATTGAATTATTAGAATATTCGTATTCTAATAGGTCCACCGAAAATAATTCAATTACAATGAATTTTTGATTCATTGAATTATTAAGTTTTCAAAATATTGAAATCAATAATCAACATCAGTATTCGATGCTACAATACCTATTATTATTAAACGTTTTGTGTTGCGCGAAAACTTAAACGAATAATTCCCATCACTGCTTTGTATATGTCTGATGATGAATTTTCAATTCGAAACTGGTCGTACATCAAAAATATAATGGGTTAAACATTTATTTATTTTTATACATAAACTATTAACCTATAAATTATAATAATTGTACTTAACAAAAATGCTGTGGAATCAGACTGATTGACTGAGTTACTGGAAATAAATATACAAATCGTAAAACTAAGTAGGTACTAATCTTTTTTCTTGTTGTAAATCCATACTGTATTGAAATGAGAGTTAACCACAGATATATAAAATAGTGTATATTGTTTTATATATCTCTGGAGTTAACTCTTTGTCACACAAATGGTTTTTATAGACATTTTAAACCATTATGTTTGCACAATATTTTTTAGAATTAGTAAAGGGCCAGTCTCTCATAATATTATTAGATTTAAGTTTTACAATAGTCTTATAACAAATAAAAAGTTTATATATAGAAGTAAATAGTTAGACTGAAGTATTATTATACTTATAAAGTACGATTGGTTTCGAATTAATAATTCATCGTTAGGTGTATATAAGATTAATACAATTTAAGAATTCTATTATTAAGCATTTAATATTTTTTTATTATTTTACAACTTATAATAGTGTTAAAATTATAATACGACTAATGTGCGGAACAAAATTTAACAAAGAACAATAGGTGTGATTTATGTTTACAACTAATCCGTTGGTTTTAGAACAGTCTTTAGAAAATCATTCACTCGATTGTACCGAAGATAATCGTTGCATAGTTGTAAGCGAAAATCTTTCAAACGGGTTTTTCCATATGTTAACTCTGTAATTATCAGATTTTTTAATGAAGATTTTTGTTGTTTGTAGAACTTACCTCATAAAACCAAAAGTTCTTTGGTTATTGCAATCGGCGTTAAGTCGAGCTAACAACACAATGAGTCGTGAATAACACATACAAAAATATGCATATATAATTGAAAATAAAATAGGTACATTTTTCAAGCAACAAGTAGTTATAGCACGAAAATATACATAAATATTTGTAGTTTTACAAAAATAATTGACAAAATATAGAGAGCCTTATTTTCTTCGATTTATTACAAATAAAAATACTTATTATAAGTATCGTACAACTACGTAACGCAATCATAATAATATGATAAAAAATGTACATCATAACACGGCAGATTGACGAATCGCTGTAAAAAAATTGTTTTCAGGACTGCAATGCGTGAAAAAAAAATGTTTACAAATTGTTTAAAAATATAATAATAGTAATAAAAATAATATTTATAATTAACAGTTAATGAGCAAACAGTTAATATGTATCCGCATAAAACAATACAATTACGTAGGTATGTGTGTTTACTTAACGGTTAGGTTAGCAATAAGAATTTATTCGACGGAGCGTGTCAAATTTTTCGAAGTAAAACGATATAGAGACGCGATGGTCGCAATGTGTACGGTACAGGTTACATAAGTGGTAAGTTATACAGACGGCAACAGGTCGGCGGGGCCACCAAGTTAGTACTTCGTTCCGTCAACCGTGTCGGTAGCCGCGGACGTACAAAGATTGTTGTGCCCTAGAGAAGAAGAAGAGTTCGAGTAGAAAGGGACGTGAAAAAATAGCATCCCGCCGAGGAAGAGGGATGCGAGAGAGGAGAGGTAGAGAATGGCGGAAAGGACGAAAAGTGGAACGAACGGAAGTAGAAAACGGTCGATAAATTGAGCGTTGCGTTAACATTTAGAGATCGTGTGATCGCGCGGTGGCCGCGTCTTGCGGTCGGCAAGCACCGTCCATGCGTCAGAGAACAGCTGTTGATCGTCCGAGTGCACCAGGAACGACATGTAACAGATCTGCTCGACGGACGGGTTGGCAGAACGGGAGCACACGCGTCCGTGTAGGTCGTTGGCGCGTTCCAGGTCCAACCATCTGGTAACAATAATCCGGTCCGTAGCGGTCCAAAAGTTCACAAAAGCGCGCGCGCGCGAGTGCTTTTTCGTTGTGTCAGTGGTGCGGTGCAGTGGCAGCGGCGAGGGCGGATTTTTTTATAAGGCGCGTGCGTGTACTTATCGGTTAGGTTTGGTTACCTTTTCAGCGATAGCGGCCGGTCTGGGGTGACCGCGGTTACGCCCGTCGGGCCCCACAGCCAGAACTCCAGCAGCGCCTTGCACTTAGACAGCGAGTTGGCCTTGCCCTGGCGCAACACTTGCGACAGGCAAACAGTCATCTCCCACGTGGGCGCCAGTAGCCTAAGCACCTTGAGCATAATCTCGCACAGCGTGTCCTCCTCCTGCGCGACAAACGAAAAAATTGTAGACAAACATTTTGAACATTTTTTTTTATCAAAAACAAAACATTGCGCGTTGTAATTTTTTTTTTTTTAATCGGACAAACGTACCGCATAAATCCGTTCGATTGTTTTATGGGCGTGAAAGATAAATTTACTTCCCCCCTTCGGGAACTTAATTTTTCCATAATTATTTTAACAATTTGAAATAACAATAATTTAATATCATTTTTGTCGTATATGAATATTCATACCACAACATAACCGTTAAATAACATATCCATATTATTTATTTACTGGGTTACAACTAAAAATATGTACATTTTACTACTAAATCAACACATCGGTAAGTCAAAATTACCCGGCCTAAATGATAAATACACAACTTAATGTTAAAATATCAAAATTAATGTTACCTGGAAATTGTAATCCCGGAGTTGAACTACGGCTACGGTAGGGTCGGCTCCGAAACTGTTTCTGGTCACTATGAACGGTTTCAGGCTGTACCGGTCCACGTCCGACGCTTGGAGACCCATCAGTAGGTTGACCGTTTCAACCAGAATGAGGCCCGCCTCTTTGGTCACGTCCACGTACTTGGCGTTGTATTCCTTGCAATACGACTCGATGGATTCCACGCGATGAGCATTCCACAGGGTGACGTAAGCTGTGAAATGATAATTCGTAGAGCAAAAAAAAATACTGCAAACACGCCCAGAGGCTGACGGTCGTGACAACCATCCCCCCTCTCTCAGCCTTAACCATTCACCCACCCATAGCCCTCGGGAGAAGAAGCCAACCGTATACGGGGGGCATACGGCATACGATTATCTTTTAACGGTTATGAAATTGTTTTGATGAACGTTGAACAGATACCTCTTCTAATAATAATTATATTGCGTCACGATTTTTTTGTATCACTAATTTTTTTTTAAAAAATCGTTATGAATTATGAAATACTTGGCATACGAATTTGTGAATGCAATATTACTATTAATACGTGAAAATGATTTAGTGTCCAGTAAAATAATCAACGTTTATAAAAACAAATTTTTTTCTTTTTTAAATCACGAAAAATGCAGGCATTCCGATGACCCCAACTAGTAACGACCAGAGATCATCTGAAGACAATACTTCTACGCTTAGAAGCGTTTTAAAACGATAGGTAAACGCGTTCGCTCACCGTCTTCGTTTTCGGAGTCACCCGGAGCGTATTCCTTTCCCACGCGCGTCACGAATTCCGTCACTTTGGTCAGAGTGAAATGATTGTTGAGCACGTTGTTCAACTCGACCCGCTTGCCGGATACGCTCAGCACCACCGGGACTTCGTACCACTTGGCGTTGTAGAACGCGCAACCGGATTTCCGTAAACGGCTGGTCGGGTCCACGCGGAAACTGGACCATTCCAAATTCTTCGCCTTCAACGCCAACAGCTCTTTCGGGATTTTGGGATCGCACGTAGCCTGCATAACGTGACGGCGGTGGTGAGTTAAATACAGCGTGCAGATACAACATAATACGTGTTTTAAGTCATATTACCTGGTCCAAGAGTTTGGTCAGAGCTTCGTGGTTAGCAATCACAACCGCATCGTAGCTCTCTTCGAGGCTCTTGCGTCCCAGCTGAGTGTTCCTGATACTATCTTCGGCTCCAAACTACGAAAAAAAAAATGATTAACATCGTGATTGCACAAATTGTATAAGTAAACGTGCGCAGAGTTATTGCATAAGTCGGTGAACGATTTGTAAATGTGTAAAAATGTATATTACATATCAATAGGACAGTATCAGGTTCGGTTAAATGATGTGAGGGGGTAAGGAGATATAGTCCTCTACGAACTCTCCTAAACTATGAAAGCCATAGTACAATTATGTGTTATAGGGCTGTATGAACTCACATCGTCGCCGAATTGGATGGCTGGATATATTTCCGACTCGGTCTCGCTGCCGTAGTACTGCATGGACGTAAGCCTCGGCATTTCCGGTGAACTGTGATCACACTCGGGCGCCGAGAAATTGACCGGTTCGTACGTCTCGTCGGACGTGCTGGAGTCGCACGTTTTAGGCTCGTCCGGGTAGTCCGCGATATCGGCCGACGGCAAAGAGTTTGCGGGCAGCTTCGAAACGGGCGGAAGACTTCTGGGCGGCGGTGGCGGTTTCGAAGGACGAGCTGAAACATAATTTCAGGCGTATTATATCAAAGTATACGACGATATCCATAAAATACAGCTGAAGATCTATTCAACGAAAAGATTCACAACGGATTTTTTTTTACGGAACCAATGAGATTTTCATTAATAAAAAACGTTTTCATATTTAACGAATCAATTTTTTAGAATTATTATATAATACAATTTAAACTTGTGTATAGAGTAAGCGATTGTAGCAATTTTAGGTAAAACAATTTAAAAATCTAAAATTAATTAATCCGTTATATTCAAGATAAACGTCATCATAATGTATAATACTAAAATACTAGGTATATACTATTTATAATTGTTATTGTTATATCAGCATTATTTTAGGTTGTTAATAGGCTATACATATTATTACAATTCATTATTTACATACTTTTCATATAGTAAAAATGACTTTTTTAGAGAAAAAAGTATGAGCACCAATTTTTAATGATATCTCATTAGTTTCAAAGAACTGTCAAGACTTCGTTAATTAGAGGAATATAACTGCATATTATAACTATACGTTATTACAGTATAAACATTGCACACATTGAATCAGTCGACGGACAATTTAGTCGAAAACACTGCGGTTTACGTGCATAATTCGAATGAGCGTAAACGAAATGACGTACCGGATGTTAATTATACTATCGAAAACGGAAAATCTATTTGATTTTGTACCGCAGAGTAATGTGCGAGAGTAGTTTATGCAATGGATTTGAAACACATTTAAAGCGTTTATTTATCGAGAACGTAAATCAAAGATAAGTATTCTAGAAATTTGAAAAATAAAAATTACTGCATACTAATATACGAACGGATTACGCATTAATATATAATACGATCAGCAGATGATCTATCTAATTTGTAATTCCAAAATTTATAAATGTTCTATACTTTTATTTTACATAAAAATATGTACACGTTTATACTTACCATCCCATAATAATATTCAAATTTTTTCACGATTAAAACAAAATTAAATTCGATTAACTAGTGTTATGCATAAACGAAACTGTATTAATTTGTATATATTATTAATTTTTTTTTCACTCTCTTGTAAAATAATAACAGTTATTAAAAGTTCTGTTATTGGAGTTTTGACCTTTGCAAATCAGGTTATTTATTTTAAATAGTATAGTAAAATAGTACATACATAGTATGTGTTACATAATATTATGTGGGGCAATGCGGACAGACGAGTTCCACATGTTGAACACCTCTATTATAGCAAAACGTATATTCGATAATAATATATTGAGCAACGGACAAGTAATAATGGGCAACGATTTACAATGTTTCGACAATGGTTATCGATTTCAACAAGACAGTCACAGGTTTTTTATGAAAACTAATCTACGAATATTTAGTAAAATATATTGATGTTATAAATGACAAATTTGGATGGTTTGATGAATGAAAAAAAGAATCATTACACAAATACTAAAGTGCCTACACAACGACGAACAACACAAACATAGAAAGTGCCAATTAAAAAAAAAAAAAAAAGGAAAATTAATAAAAACATACGTATGTACGAAAATAATAAAAACCGGATGCGATGACCAGTAAAATATACATACACGTAATATATATATATATGTACAAATCGCACAATAGAAATTGCGAATAGATTAACGGCAATGTGTGGAATTCAATAAAATTCGAATTGATTAGGAAGCAACGAACGTGTAACATACGATGATTCCAAGGACGACGGTCGATGGCAATCGAATTTTACGTACAAAGAGCACGAGGAAGGACGTAGATAATTTTGTAAATAGTTATGCCACTATAAAAGTCTTTCTTCTCCACCGAAAGTAATAGATTGTAAAAAAAAAAATTAAAAAAAATAACAAAAACGGAACTCGTTTATAGTACTAAACTACCTACACGGTAAAGGCAAAGCCACCTAGACCGGAAATTGATTTGATTTGGAGCGCTACCTACAGAGTAATAAATCATCATAGTTATGTCATAATATACCGGTAAATAAGAATATATTAAATTTACATTTTCAGGAAAAACTTATCGTTCCATCTTCTACGCAGAAAAAGTACATTATATTAAGTCGATCGTACGTAATTGTATTACTATATTATCGTAGGGTTAGGCCGTAATCCGTATAAAAAAATCAACTCCCATAAGTCTTAGTTCCTTTGGTTAGTACGGTGAAGTGCGTGTAATTTTATTAACGACCAGCGGTACGGTATGGTTACAATACATGTCAATGGCTATTTTTTTACTTAAAAAGTCAGGGATAGTCGTGTAGGAAGGGTGTTCTTCGAAAAAAATAACCATTCGACTTCGGGGCTTCTTAGACACTTTAGAAGAAACAGTCGCAGTATAAAATATGGTTTTAAACAATGATACAAGCCAGTTAAAGTGTTCTCTAAATCGCGTACGATTAGAATTTTAAAAATTGTCTGCACCCGTTACTTGGCCCGGATCCGTCCCTGGTGTGGTAGGGACTGAATTACAAACTACGATCTATGAGCGATAATAAAATCCAAGAGAGGCGGGTAGGGAGGAAAGTGAAATCGAAAAACTCTTACCGGCGGCGAAGCCATGGTTGGTCGGCGGCGGCGGTGGGCCTCGCGCCGCGGATACCGTTTCCCTTACATACGGCGTCCCTCCAACGCCATCAATCACGGCGTTATGTATGATCTCCACGCCCGACTTGTTGACGTCCAGTGGATGGATGATCTCCAACTTGGGCCTGGGCGACGGCTGTGGCGGAGTGGTGGCTCCGGCCACCGACTCTCGGCTGGGGATGCGCAGGAATTTTTTGATCTTCAGGCCCACCTTACCCGCTTTGCTGTATTTCTTCTTCTCACATGCGGGCCGCTTGCCGCTGGTTAACGGGAACGTGGACGAATCGCGCGCGGCTGTCGGTTCACCGCCGGCCACCGGGTCCGCCGCCGGTTCCCTGTCATCGCGGTAGCTGTGCCGGACAGGTGGGGACGCGGACGACGACGACGACGACGAAGACTGTTCCTTCTCGATCTGCTCGCAGTACTCGGCCAGCAGCTTGCGGTTGGCCACGGTCACGTCGTCCGGCCGGAACTCGTCGTCCGACAGCGAACTGTTCGCGCTGTGGAACACGTTCGTCGACGGCTCGGCTGCTGCGCCGCACTTGCTTGCGGCCGACGGCGGTGGGGGCGGCGGCTTCGGGGCCTGCCGTTTGATGCTCCTGGGACACTCGGGTGGGCTGTTGCTGCAGACGGAAGTCTAAAAACAAAAATGTGCCCACACGATTTATTATATTGGCGCGATTTTATTCGCAAACTCTTGCATTGTGCAAAATGTCCTACGAAGATTGAAGAGTTAAAAAAAAAAAGAAAAATGTTTTTTTTTCGTATGAGTTATAGGGATTTGGACAACGAATATATTTATAGTTCAATAAATGGATGAAAAGTTTACTTGGAGAAAGACAGTTTTTTAGGTTATGAAGTAAAACTAATCAAAAAAAGAGATAATAGAAAAACTTTGTTATTTTCAGAAGAATAAACCCTACAATGAAGTATATATCTTTAAATGTTTAAAAAATAATGAAATCAAACAATATTTTTTTAATTTCTTTTCCAAATCACGAAATGTAATAAAAATACCATTATCCTTGCAATTCAAGTAAAAAAAAAAAGAATTGAATTGTCTTTATTATTTCAGAAGATATCGCAATGAGAATACAACTTCGTGGGACATTCTATACATGTAAATATATTTCTTTATTTTCCATCTATCACGTTTGATAAATCTATCTATACATTCTCTGTAGGTTTCATTTAGGTAATTCAATAAATTATTTTAATACATTTTATAATGTTTTTTCCCCGACCGTTAGACATCAAGATTCAGTCGGCATAGCAGATCCAAAAAGATATATAATTTTAGCCAATCTATACTACCAACGACTGTACTTCAATGACAATTAATATAATAACTATATGAAATATTTTATTGCAACTCGAGGTAAAGTGTATAATATTTTTATAAGCCTATCCAATAGTGAGTCAATATCATTAGACATACCTTTTTAATGGGCGTCTTGGGAGGCGTAGTGGTGGTGGTTGTACTACCGGTTATGGTTGCGGCAGTGCAGGGATGATGATTGGTCGTGTCCCGCAATGGTGACGAGACTTCTTTGAAGTTATGCAGGAACGATCGGTTTACCGGATTCGACGCAGGGCCCATCGTCGTCGTCGTCATGATCGTCGTGACGGCTGGGTCGCTAGGTTCATCTGAGTCCGCTTTTCCGTCCGGCTCGCCGGCCATTTCCCTGCTAGTCAACGAAGATTCCGGCGTGGACTCGGCCGTGTTGGCGACGGCAGAAGAAGCGGCGGACTTTGATGGTTCCGGTTTTTGAGACGAAGCCACGGCCAATTTGAGCTTGAAGTGCATGGTTCCCATACGCGGCACGTTACTCCTGGTCTTGTATGGCGCTATGGCCGTGTCCACCTCCGGAGGATCCTTCGTCAGCACGTGGACCTCGTTCTCTTGGTCCTCAACCGCCTTGACGATGACCGCTTCCGGCGGATGCAATTTGACTTCGGGAATCTCCACATTCGGCACCGGCTGGATTTTCACCTCTTCGTCCGCCGGTAAGCTGTATCGTTTGATATTCAGATATGGCTCGTTGGAGTTGGCCACCAGTGAGCTCCTGGATAGGGTCGGTTTCCTCGTGGTCTCAGTCTTTTTCATTTGCACGTCGTCGTCGTTGTCGTTGTTGCGATCCTTCTTCTCGGTTTGTCGCGACACCTTAGCGCTAGCAGTCACGGCCGAGATCTCTTTGTTCTTTAGGAAGTTGAACACGAGCGACTTGGGCGGTTCCGCGCTGAATGGCTGAACGGTGACCAGTGGCGGCGATAACAGTGATTTATTTTCCGCAGGTTCCACGGGCGTGTCGCTAACCCGTGCCGTCGTCGCTGCAGCTTTCGTCGTCGTCGGTCCATTGTTGTTGCACCTCGACTTCTCGGGCGCGGTCAGTTTGCCATTGACATTCGTGTTGGCTTCCGTCAGTCTTCTCAGCTCATCGTCGTCCTCAGAATCAAAGTATTCCGAGTGGTTCTCCTCGTCCGACGAATATTCTTCGTCGGTCGAATATTCTTCGCCACCGTATCCGATGACTTCCGACTCGACATTGGAAAACGATACATTTCGCGATTTATCGCACGAACCGTTCACCTTTAATATACTCTGTAGAGAAAGAAAAAAATTAATTAAATTTTAAATTTATAATGATCGGATGATTAAAACAATCATTTAAAGGCAACACATGTGCTTATGATTTTCCTAAACTGTATGCATCATTATCGATTGAGTGTCCATAATACGAGTAAATACGTCGAAAGTCAAAAAAAAATAAATAAAAAAATGATTTATAGTTAACGAAGAAAAAAGATACTTAGCATTGTCTTTCGAAAGGAATTATTATTTTATTTATCAAGATCATAGAGCTTTTGAGCTTTCTTGGGACGTTGATAGATAAATTTAGAAAATATTAACTTTGTACAAGAGGTTTTATTTAAGAATTAAGTTTCGAGTAGAACCTAGAGTAATAGGATTTAAGCATTTGATATAAAAAGGGAAATTTAAAAATTGTATGATGGTTTATAACGGGTATAACACAAGCAAGAGCAGATATAATACGACAAAAGTATGATTGATCAGAAAGTCTATATTAGTTCTCATATTCGAAGGGTTTTTTTATATCGCCTAGAATATAGGGCCTAGATGAATTTTAAAGTATTTTAAAGGACTAAAAAAATTTAATTTTATATTTTCAGATAATAACATTTTTTTCAATGGTTAGAATTTTGTCTTTGAGAAAAAAGTGTGATCATGAGCTTTGGAGTAAGTCTGATTACCACTAATATTTATTAGGAGTAAGACGTTCGTTTATAATCTAGATATAAAAAAACGTCAGTTTATAGTTGAAAGGGTTTAAAATGATAGGTTAGATTAGGATAGGGATTCGATGTTACATAATAAAAAAAATATAAATGTAAAAGCATGCGATATAGATTATTTCATATTTATTTTCTTTGGACATATTTGTACGGATGTAAATAATAACTATATAATATTTTATACTTTAAAGTGTAATCATTAAATACAATTCATCGGTTTAAAAATTAAATTAAATTTGTTTATTATTTAAACGAGCCGTCTGTGCAAAAACTTGATGTTGAATCGATTAGTTCTAAAATTACTGTATTATCCTCACACGCATGCGTTTGTTTGTGTTTTCCAAAAAAACGGTGCACTTACACCACCAAAGTTGACAAATTTTCGATAGCTAAACGATGTCTGTTTATATATTATAAATGCTTGTGTCCACCCAGTGTCGTGGACGTATCTCTAGTATATTTACCTGTGCTGGAGAAATTTCCGGTAATGGTTTGTAGTCGACATGTACGCGTTTGGGCTTTTCCGGGTGTTCCTCTTTTGGACGGAAACAGTTAGAGCAGAGTTCTTTTTTCCAGGCATTCTGTTTGAATCTCGGACAAACCGCTTCCGGCGACATGGTGTTTCAATTACTGATTCTAACGTGGACTTTTTCCAATTTTTTATTTGCCATAATCCTGCAAAAAATTAAATCGATCACTTTCAATAATGCAATAGGTATTTGCATGCATGCATGCGCCACTATGCGACGTAATATTGTAAAAATAATGAACGGGAAAAACGTAACACATCGGGTGTTTAAAACTAATTACAATAATAAAATACGTATAGGTTAGGAAATAAATACGTAATAATAATAATAATAATAATAATAATATGTTCATTTTATTTAATATCAGACTGACGTTTTTTGTACTCAATTGGTTATAAATAAAAAACAAATAATAAATAATTATTATCTCTAAAACCACATTATTAATATTAACGCACACGCGTAATACCTGAAGTATACAACAAGTTTTTATAAATAAAAGACTTTAACTACCTATATACACGTTTTGTCTAGGTTTCTATGAAATAATATATCTTATACATTGTATCTTGAAATAATAACCATAAAATAGAAAGTAAAATGTTTAAGGTGTTAATTTTCGAGTTATTTTAGTACCTTAATAGTTTTTCTAACATTATACTATGGTGACATCATTTTTTAATGTACACAATACTTTTTAAAATTATAATTTTATAATTAATGATCTGATAATGACTGTATAATAAGAATGTGTCTTCAAATACCACCTATTGTTAAGCTTGCTATAATAATATTGGTTGGTTAAAAAAGTACCAGGTGATGATGTTAAAAGTTATGTTTTAATACTCTAGCTTTGAAATACATAGTATATAATGATCTAGCGTAATGCGTATAAGTTAAAAATATAAAGATAACGTACAATAAAAGGATAAAGAACATTTCATTGCAGACGCATAAATATATGATAGAATCAGGAAGTTGTAGTATATTTTGAACATGCATTGTAAAACTCGTACATATGATCATCACACAAATCTTGTCGTACGCATATTTAGATATATGATTTTAAAGACAAGTATAGAGAGTGCTACTTTTTTTGTTGAATTTTTAAATAATTTAACATACATTGTTGAGGCAAACACTTTTATGAATACTAATGCAAACATCATTATTATTTGAAAACGTTAGAACATATAATAATATTTTTTTCTGCGATGTATTTCATTTTGTTAATATGTATCTTTTTATAAAAATCGTAGAACGTAAAATTCATCAGAGTTGTGGAAATTAAAATATGCAATATTGTTTTAAATGAACTATCCTCGCTCTGAAAAACTTTTATCCACGTTACAAACACCATCTCTGAAGTAACATCACGATATAATACGATTTAAGACGGGTCGTTTAGAGAAACATGAATCCTTAGAAATATTTTAATTCAAATAACTAGTTTAATAAACTTTATATTATTGTCCCCGTAGTAGTCATCTTCGTCGCGTCTAACGAGTGAAAAAAATAATAATAACATGAACAGATATTATTATTATTACTACGCGATACGAATGAATTCACAATAAATGACGACAACGATTAATTGAGGGCTTTTGAAGAACGCCGAGTCATTAGTTCAAGAAAATTTTAAATATTTTCTCCGAGCATAACAGTAGCAGAAGTTAAATAGAGCGTAGCGACCGATTTTGCTGTGAATATTCTACGTGCTTTTAGGTAATGATATAATTAATTGTCTTTATTTTAAAATTAAAATAAGCTCAGCACTACACATGTGGATATGTTAATGTGGCCGGTTGTCGAATGCATACATAACGCGAGTGTGCACACGCTCACACGCGTATCGTCGGATTTTTATTACCGGTCGGTGCATATTCGCAATGTATAACTTATAATATCGAACACAAATCGCATTGAAACGTTATAAATTCATGTAAGTCATACAAATATATTTTTAAATATTGTTGTTTTTATCGGATATAAACACAAATCAACACATCTCATTGAAACCTAAGTGAAACCAGTTTTATTGAATTAATTTTCCGAATAATATTATCAATACATAAACATTGAGAAGTTCAAATATAGGCTCTCACGGCGAATTAACGATTTTTTTCCCCTTCACTCTTTCTTATATACTATGAAAGCGATGTGTGGAAAAGGTGTGTAATTAAATATTATGGATATAATATCCAGTGAAGTACATGAACGTACACTATAGTAGACACAGCGCAAATAGAAATTGAAAACAGTAAGAGTTACAAAAAAAGATGTGCGTAGATGTCCGAGATGATAACGGGAGGGTGATTTTTCTTCTCATCCTAGGGTTGGTTGAAAAAAAACTTGCGTTTTTTTTCATAGAAACCGATACACCGGTTAAATGCGGTCGTCCGTCACGAACGTGAAAATTGAAAATGAAAAATTCAAAAATGAAAAAACACACGTGCAGTGTTTCAAATAGCGACGTGTAGTCTCTCGTGCTGGCGTGTCGAGAAAGTATCGCGTATTATACACGGGTGCTTAGATATTGCGTATGTAATGAATTTGGTGAAGAGAGAGGACGTGTGCTCAAAAAGGTTTTCGGTTAACGACTGACATTAGTGCGATGTCGTAGCGGAGTGGAGTGGGTACTGTAAACTAGTAAACAGTACCAAAAGGGCACGAGCGCAGATATGTAAAAATCGAGTGTGTTCGACGATGTTGACGACTTCAAGAAGTAGACTATTAGTCGACGAACCTTCCGAATGAGTTATAAATTTATAATATGTAAAATATTTTTCCTCTACTTTTTTGACTCTATTATTCACACGCGTGACTGTACTGCATAAGGCAGTCGTGTTCGTTATCATATCGACATGTCTCCGGACTTATTCGTTAAGGACCCCACTACGATGAAACACGACGGTTTTTATTTCTGTCGAGTCTTGAATTTAAACACGATGTGTTTAACGGTAGTTGTTTAAAATCATAATGTGTGGGCTTTCCGATAAATACCAACGTGTTTATTTACTGTGCGCACATGTCATTCAGCTGTACATAGTACCGCTACATTGTTAATTTTAAATTTCGAACTAAATTTTAAATGTAAATTATTTGACTACGATATATTTGTATATTAATGTTATACGTCATTTCAAAATGAATAAAACATTTTTAATTTAATTTATTGAAGATTATAAAAAATTTTCTTGCTTGCGGCGCATCAAGTCTGAGAAATACAGAGATAGAAATCTAAAAAATATAGCATACGAACATTTATTTAATAAAATTGAGCAGCACAATGAAAACTGACGTATTTTATCGTAGTGTATGAGCAAAATCATTCAACGATGAAAACCGACGTGTTTTACTGTGACGATGAAAACCGTCGTGTTTGATCGTAGTGTATGGGGTCCTTTAGACCGAGTGCCTTCCGTTGCACACACGTAAAAATTGTAGTGCGTACGAACGTGCGCAACGATAACGAACATTGATGATAATAATCATACTCAGTGGCGTATTTGAGGGGGGCAAGAGGGACAAGTTCTCCTTCTGACAATTTTTTGAGAGATTAAGTTATAATTTTGCCCTCCCCCCCAAGATAATCCAACAGTAAAAATAGCACCTTTTATTAATGAACTCTTATAGATATTATTTAACAATATTGGTACCTAGTACATGCTACCTAAAATTTATATTTATCTAAACCATAAAATGAGTTAAAATACTTATGTAAAATCAAACAATTAGAATAGTGTATAAAATACATACAATAAAAATATGTTTTAACTGGTGAGGGGAGGGATGTCAGGGTTTTGGTAATAATAAATATATTATATTGCCCCCCCTAGGTTTTATCCCAGTTACGCTACTGACCATACTAATAATAATAACAATCGTGTGCAATTCAAATCCGGTCACGCGAGAAGGAGATCGTTGACGTTTGCGCCGCCGCTGCGTCTACGAGGTGGCAGCAATGGTTAGAAGCCGGCCAATACATAACCTTGATAGCGTTTAATACAATCATTTGATGACGCCAATGTTGTCGAATCGTATTGTAATGCACAAAAGAATCGTATGGAAATAGAGAGAAAGAGGGAGGAAAATAAGTCTTTGGTAAAAAAAAAAACAGCAACATACGAAGCAAGTATACGTGATGTGCTGCCTATCACCGTTGTATCGAACTCTGTGCACTGGTGGCGCACACAGGATTTTTTTTTTGGGGGAAGGGTCAAGGTAAAAATATAACACATTTTACAATTAACAAAATGATGCAAATCCTTAATATATTTTGACTTAAATAATAGCACTGATAATAGAATAAACTATTCTATAATCAATGATATTATTCAATACTAACTCTTCATATTTCAAACTTCTAATATTTGTAAATTTTAACCTAGACATTGGAGAAAACTTCGGGGGGGGGTTACAACCCCTAAACTTCCCTCCACGTGCGCCACTGCTGTGCACACGCACCTCAATACATTAATATTTAAATGAAAATATTCGATTCTGCAAAAATCTACACGCGGACTGGACATACATTGTCGTTTTTCTTCCGAATCCAAATTTTCGGCTTCTAAATATTGATGTAGTTTTAAGAAAAATACTAACCTCTGCTCAACTGATATGTTCTTCGAACGCGATGATTTATTAAGGCTTTCCGGAGGTACGTAATAAAACGGCTAACACCATAACAATGAAATCAGTGTGTTATTCTCTCAGGCTATTCTCGCGTAAATCGAGGTATATATAGGTGCCCCAGACGGTATAATAATATACGCTCGCCAGACGACAATGACGTCATCGGACGGGTATAATATATACAATAAACATACGCGCACACGTAGTAGGCCAGCGTCTACCAGCTGCAAAACCGATATCGACTGCGTGCTGCCTCAGCCACAACAAGGATTTGAAAATTCCGAACCAAGAATTTCCTTAGAGGTGCATACCCATAAAATACTCGTTCATAGGGACGCATCATATAGGAACAATTCTAAAAGTAATTATTCGGCAGTAGATTTTTTGAGAAATTGAAATTTGTCAACTGAATAAAAAAGTATCTTACAATGAAAACTATTCAATCTCTTGAAGTGCATGTTGTACGCGCGTACAATCCATGTAATAATTCGGTACGTGACGTGCGTTCCT